CTTTTACCCGTTCCTTCACATTTGGCACAGTTTCATTAATTGTTTCAGGTTGTGACTTTGACTTGTCGAGTAAAAGATGGTGTTTCTTCGTGTCCTGGAATGGTTTTTGAAGGTCGGCCATCGATTTCTGCGTTTTCAATTGTTTTCTATTTGTTTTCCATTTCCTCTGAATAAAACGCAATCTGTTCTTTAAGTTGGTGTTTGAGGCTTTGTCCTTGATGTATTTATGGATCTTGGATGTTTCATCCTGGACAGTGGCTCTCACACTCACTAGTCCTCTGCCTCCTTCCTTACGGCTTGTCTCAGGGTGAGCTCACTGTATAGCTCAGTGGGCAAGTCACCGGTCTTCCACCCGGGACCAGGGTTCGAATCCAGGCTGGGGCAAACAACAAAATTGAGCTATGCAGGGTGGGTCCTTAGGCAAGACCCTTAGGATCTATATGGCCTACCTCATACCATGAGAGACATTAATAAACATGACATGCCGGCTCAGACGTCGCCCGGCCAAACAAGGTCTGCGTCAGGTGCTGGGGAACCAGAGCACCTTGATGAAAAATGGGCTACTGCTCAGACGTCGCCCAGGCCAAACAAGGTCTGCGTCAGGTGCTGGGGAACCAGAGCACCTTGATGAAAAATGGGCTACTGGAACAAGATGGAAATGGGCGATATATATATATTTAAATTATCTCTACAAGATCTGGAAATGACAAAGGGACATATCCAACACGTGTTGATTTGTGTCTCACTTTTACTACGTGTGCATGGAAGCCATGTGAATCACAGAACAAAAGGTTTTTTAGTGTGAGAACTGGGTGAAACGAGTTCTTCCAAAGGCATTCTTAGCTACTAAATTGTGAGGATGTGTATTTTGTTTTTGTTTTTTTTTTGTGTTTCCCTGTGTTTCCACCCTCCAGTTATCCTCAGCCTAATTTCTAGTCAATTATCAGTTAATCATCCTCACCTGCTCAGTCATCCCCAATCAGTCCTGCCGCCAGGTGTTCATCATTTCCTCATTCCCTCTGTATACTGTATATACTGGTCTTTTACTCCACACCCTCACTGGCTCATTGTTTGGTTTACCCAGCTGTTATGCTTCTCCCTTGTTGTCATTGTTATTTAGTTTTTGCTGCATCGACAGCTTTTTGTTTATTTTTGTTAAAATAAACATTTTTCTTACTAAAACTCTTACCTCCGTCCGGATTTGGGTTCTTCTCCTAGTCAAAACTTAACATAAATGGGTTCAGGGAACTGTGCATTTTATTCAAACAGGGTGTAGTGTTTTAGCAAATTGTGAGATAAACTGTAAGGACATGGATCATTTTTCTCTACACAGACAGGAGGTGCTGGGCCGCTGCCTGCACTCCGCACTGAACCCGTCTCCGTCTGCTGCACGCGGGTTTGTGTGTGTGTGTGTGTGTGTGTGTGCGCGCGCGGTCCAAACACACCTCCTCTTCCTCATTCCTCATAAAGTTGTGCATGGAGAGAAAGGAGGAGGATTATTTCCACAGTCCAAAAACAAGGGAGCGTGCGGGGATCATTCTGATTAGTGTGAGCTGTTATATACTTTTGTTTACCTTGTACCAAAGGCTTGAATCCGTCCCGCTGTTTGATAACCTGCTGCTGCTGAGGATGAAGCTGTTTTGATCCTCTCCACGCGCTCCTCCAGCTCCGCGCGCCGGTTTAAGATGCCATCGAACCACAACACTTGGCACGTGGCTCGGGGTGCGACTAACCCGGGATAACAAATAAGAGAAAGCGAGAAGTTTTGGTCCTGGGTCGAGAGGAACCCGGAAAGGAGGCCCCAGGATCAGAGAGCGGCGCGCCGGGGAGAGGAGGCGCTGAGCCGCACCGAGCCAACCGGAACGGATAGGGGAGGTAACCTAATGTGTCTAAATGCTGAGAACAACAAAAACATAAAGAAAGTACACTGTAATTACTCAGAAATTACTCAGACAGTCCATTAAATTATTTGTTATTGAACTTGTGTATTGGCACTTCTAATATTTTTCCTAAAAATAGTCTAATTTCATTGGTGCATAGATGCACAGGTGTTTTTAGTAGAAAAAACTTGAACTTGAAAAAACTGAAAAAAAAAAAAAAAAAACTATAGCTGAAAATAGAAGAAAGCTTTGGTATAAAGGTTTGTTCCTGCAGGTTTGCAGAGATGTTGTTCCCTCGGCTCCTCTTCGTCCTTGTCCTCATCCTTCTCCTGCTGCCCGCGGGACGCTGCCATGCTACGCACCGGCACAGAGGCTCCGGTTCCCGGGCTGGGGGCCGCGGGACCGACCGCTCCCACAGAGCCCCATTGGGGGCTATCGAAAATGGAGAGAAAGTTCCGAAAAGGGCGGCCAAGTCTAACCACGGTCAGTTTTGGAACAGTAACAATCTGCAACACACGATCTTGAAGATTAACAATTTTCATTTTGTGGTTTTATTGTCTTTAAATCGAAGATTCGGTGAATGAAATTTAAAGTTGAGTCTTTGATTTTTTTTGTTTAAATCACCGAGACAAACTAACAAATCTTCTCTATTACTGTAAGATAACGATGTTGGCAGGTGCGGTTCTAGGGTTGGGGCCACAGGGGCACTGGCCCCAGCTGAAATCTGATTGCCCCCCTGAAGTGCCCCTTTCCTGTCACTCATCTGTCCTTTACTTTGGGGTGATGATGGTGGATGCAGTTCCATGTTCAAACATTAGTTGAGTTAATGAGTCAAATAGTAAAGTCCAGAATGAATCAAGCTTRCAGAATTCTTCTCTTCTTAAAATGTGAACAATCCTGCAAAAAAGTCTTTCAGCTGACAAATGATGGCTGGATTTTCTCACATGTTGTGTGTTTGAAAATATTTTATCTATGTTCAGTAAAATGTATGAAAAAACTGGTGAGGATAATTTACTGTACAAGATTTTTGGTACCACTTTACAATAAGACTCCCCTTATAGATGACTTAAAGAGTGTATAGATAGGCTATTAATTCATTTGTAAAGTTTACACTTCGTTAATCATTAATAAATGAAACTGGAAAATTTTGTCTCTTTCTTGTCCTTAATTCTTGCAAAATAAACACGTATTAATCATTTTTTAAGTGTTTACAGATTAATTAATAACCTATCTATAAACTCTTTAAAAGCCATCTATAAGGGGAGCCGTATTGTAAAGTGGTATCTTTTAAAAAAATAATTACATTACAAGTGTTTGAAGTGTAAAATGTATACACTGGGAATTTATGTGAAAGGATGTTGAACCAAGACTTGGCACCTCTATGAATATTGTGGCTCCTTGATGGCCCCTTACTCAGAAAAATCATAGATCCGCCCCTGGATGTAGGCCTACATTTTCTTTATCGATGAAGAGGTAAAACCAGTTTGTCTGTAGTCTTGCAGTTGGTTTTAAAGTCAACAAGCAGAAAATGAAAGTTCCCCTCAAAAGCTATTTAGATTCATAGTTTTATACAATTTTTAGAGATCAATATTATTATGAGATTCCATATAAAGAACAATATTTTATAAAACAGTTTCGAGTGTAGCTTCACAGTCTTAAAATCTTACAAACTCAATAAAATCAATGTGTTGTTTGAGGTCGCCTGTACAAATGTAACTTCCCCTGAGGTTTTATTCTCAAACAAATAAACTACTGTTGGTTTTATTTAGATTCACCCATTTAACCTGACTTGGTTCTGGATTGTTGAAAAACCATGATAGCCTTTTATTAACTTAACCCCTTAACATGTGAACATTTTTTTAATTAGAGTATGTTTTATTTTACTTTTTATGTTTTTGTATTTATGTCATATCATCATTAATAGATTGGGTATTGCAGCAGCTTGTGATCTAAAACAAATTTCCATTTTGGACAATAGCGTGTAATTTAATTGATCTTAATACTTTGCACCTTTTGCAGTTCTGAACTCTGTCTAGGATTATCTTTAAATAAATTTAACAAATACTTATCAAGGTGAGCAACATTACACAAAATATAAATTTAATTTCATGTAACTCTGCTGACAATTACAAACTGGGAACACATATAAACTGCCGATTGTGGTCATTATTATAAAAAAATTACTACTGTATTTTAATCCTCTTTCATCAGATTATTTTGACATTTTTGCTGCAAAGAAACCACAGCATGCAACCTGTTTTTTTTGTTTTTGGTGGTTCTATGAAACCTCCTGTAGATAACAAAACGTGAGCTATAAAATTTTTACCGTGAGAGGGATATTGTGAAATATGTTTGCGTATAAACATGCGTGAATATTTTTTAATCATTTGTTCAGATTCCTTAATGCTGTAGTTGACTTAAAACATGTTTTACCAACTGGGGTATAAAATTTATTGGACTAATTGCCACAGGAAACTTAATGGCACTTTCTTCTAACAGGAAAAGGGTGTATTTTAATCCCTAAACTTAATGTTTTTTTTTTTGTAACACTTGCTGAAGAAGTAAATAATAAAGAGTTATGAGCTGGCAAACAAAAATAAGCATGTGAAAATGAATTAAAACCAATTTTGAAGCTAAATCCAATATTTAGAACATGACTGGTGGACAGACTGGGTCATGATGCACACAAACAGAAACAACACAGCTGTTTCATAGAAAAATCACTTTCCCAATGAAAAGCAATAACTGAACTTTCATCATGATTTTTTTTTAATCTACTCTGTCAAATACTATTTTGATTTAAACATTTGCAATGTTTGTGAAAGTTGCTATCTCTGTCCAAGGTGCTGATCCTAAATAAAAAAAGTTCTATTAGTTTTTAAAGCTCACTAAATGACATATTGATCAATTGACTGATTCATTGAATTTATCGATTAAAATTGTTAAACTGAAGCACGTTTATCTGTACTGAAGGCACATTTCAGACCTTCTGGTGCTTAATGTTGCCTGCAAGAAAAAAATAAACTCAGTTTCTGCATTTTTAGGAGATTTTTGTTTAAAACAACAGTCCTTTTGTCTAAAGCAGCAATTGGCAGTGTTTCCTTGACTGTGTCACAAGGTTGGCTGTCAAACTAACTCATGAACTTTAAATTTATAAACAAAAACATTAAAATATTTTTGCCGAAAGGAAAAATTCAACCAGATTTTCAAGTTAGCACCAAGCTGGAACTAATGTGGTCAGTCTTTGAGAAATGATTCAGTTATGGTCCTGAAAATTGCTTTGAAGGTTGGTTTTCAAACCAACTCATACACATTTCATTTGTAACCATGAACATTAAAATATTTATGCCAAAAGCAAAAAGTCCAACTAATTTCTAAGTTAGCAGACCCCATTGGAACGGATGTGGTCAGCTTTTGATAATTCAGTTATGGTGCTGAGAAGTACTGAAGGCCAAAGGATGTCTAAATGTGCTGTACTTTGAATACATAATAGCCACGCCTGGTTCATGGATGAGTTGAAGTAACCACATCTCTCATTCAATCATTCAAGGTAAAATTTGGGTCATAGCATGGTCAAGCACTCTTTGCTAAGTTCAAAATTTGGAAGGAGTTTCTGATTTTAAAAAGACAAAAGCGTATAACAAAATATATTTTAGTGATATTTCTCTCTTCCTAAAATCAAGTAAGGGGAATGTTTTGTTACCTTAATGTCAATTACTTCTGGCTGTCTTCAAATTGTTAACATGCTGGGTTTAAAAGCACATAGATTTGAGATAATGCTTGTTCTGATTCATATAGATAAAAATATCATTAAAAGTTCCTAATCCTTGCTCTTATAACTTTGCTTTCTCAGAGAGTCGCCTCAGAGAATCAAAACACAAGGAACAATTCATCAGCCACTTGACAGGTAGGGACATCCATTGCCTTTTTGTCCAAGTAAACCACTGGTTATGAGCAGCTTTTGAATTTCAGCAAGTTGAATGTTTAACAAAATATTTAGTGCTACATTGAACTGCTAAGTCTGTACTTTAAATGTAACAATTTTCTAAACTAATGAAATGCCCAAGAGTTGTCAGCCTGTAACACTAACACAACTGACTTAATCAATTTTCACTTTCTGTTCATCAAATCCTACTTCATGTGTGTATTGTTATGTTTTAACATGCATCTGAGTACCAAACAGTGTGACTTTACTCCTTAGAACCCCTGAAAATATAGTAGTAAAATATCAATCAGAATAACTTTCAACTGCAACCAAAACCTTGTTTTTCCTAAAGTTAAGTCAGTACTTTTAATGCCTACACTTTACTTCTGTTTTACCTAAAGCCGATCAATAACCACTATAATATCTAAACCTAGTCATTACCTTGAAATCTATAACCCTAACCAAATATTTTTAAACTCAAACATACTTGCATACCATGTCTAACTGTTACTTTGTCTTTTAATTCGTAAACTTAACTTTTTTGAGTATTTCAAAGTGTACATAAAACCACAAGCTTTAAATGTCTGAACTGATAACCTTAGTATGTATGAAACATGCCTGAACCGCTCACAACTGTTTAAGGCCTAAATCCTACCAGATATTTTGTACTTAAACATTATTATGTACTTTTGACATTTGAACCTAACCATGTCATTTATAGCCTGGCCCGTGCCTTCCTACACAGCTCCGCTCAATTCTAGTTTCCCTTCACTTCTCCGTCTGGGATTTCTCCCATAGACAAGGATTTCTTCAGGAGAATTTTGTTCAGGCCAATCAGAGAACAGAAGGAGTTTGGAACGACATAGATGTTCTGCACAGTGGCTGCTTAGTGAGTTAGCAATGCCAGTGGAGGAAGTGAATGAAGCCAGTCTGTGTTGATAAGGCTTCCAAATTAAATTATATTTGTCTGACAAAGCAGCAGCTCTCATTTACAGTCGTCTCATTCGGCTCGGTACTTCTCTCCTCTCAGTAGGGTTGTTTACAGCGCACACGGTTTCCAGTTAGCTTCTTAGCTTAGCCTCCTTCACAGTGGAGCTGGCATACGTACGTTGCAGCCAACCAATCCAATCATTTTAAACTTCAACAGAGGCCACACCTCCAGCAAGAATCGCTTCTCTATAGCCGAAAGTCCAGACCCTTGTGTGAAGCAAAGCAAAACCTGGTTTTAACCAGGCTGTGCAATTTATGCTATTTTTTCCAACTCCTAACTTCTAAATACAATTATGAACTTTTAATGTCAAAATCTTTACCATGTATTTGTAATGTCTAAACCGATCAACATTTTAATGTTTACCTTCACTTAAACACTTTATTCTTATTCACAATCAGGTAAGTTTGAGGTATGTCCATTCCTATAAGAATATTTTAATACTTAAATGTAACCAAGTTTTTTTTAATGCCTAGAAGTCAAAAAATGTTTTAAAAACCTAAAAATAACCAAGAACCTTGAATAACTTAAATTAAACAAATACATTTAAACGTTCATTTCTAACAAACTACTTTTATTAAATCAACCTGAATAAATTGTTTAAATAACTAAATCTAATTAAGCGGAACAGGGATCAAAATTTAAAATAAAAAGCAACACACATGGATCCCTGCTCAGATTTAGCTTTGGATCAGTTTCCTGATTATTGAAAAACTAAATTAAAAAAGCCCCCAGGGCACAAACTTTGGCACAGATCTTAATGAGTTGGGAATGTGTTATTTAATGTGGTTTCAAGTCATGTCAATGTCAGTGTCAAATTTATTCATATACGTAGCACATTAACAACAAAAGCTGAGCAAAGTGCTTCACAGTTTAGTCAAAGACTTCTATCATTTAAACAAAATAAAAATAAAGTACAGAAACACACTATAAGAAAAAAGACATCAGCTCCAACTGAACCTCAAACTCTGTCTGAATCAAAAACCCAGGAAAAAGGATGGATCTTCAGCAAAGATTTAAAAGCCTCAACAGTTTCAGCAGACCAAATATGAAGGGTTAGACTGTTCCATAATTTTGGAGCATCAAATGCCCACCTCTGGATTTAATTTTGGACCAAGGAACATATAAAAGAAACTACTAATATACAAACTACAATTATATAAAAACTTCCACAATGAGTTATATGTTTAAAAAGATTGATAAATTAAATTTATTAAGAAAGTATGATGCTATGTAGTGTTTAGTGAAGCTATTGTTTGATTCCTTGTTTGTTCTTGTTTTCAGATATGGAGATTGTTTATGTTTAAGGTGTTGTTTGTTTGAAGTTGTTTTTTTAAAAAGGGGCAGATTTTCTTTCTGCACCCTTTTCATTCAACAATCAATTTACTTAGTTTTATTTATTTATTTTGATTTTTTTTGGTTCTTTGTTGATTATAAGAATGAAATAAATTAACTAAAAAAACCTCAACTAAAAGTCCAGAGTTCTCTGACTGGAGTGTTGATGTTAAGGAGATCATAAATGTAATGGGGGCCAAACCATTAAAAACTTTAAAAGCCGGCAGTAAAATCTTAAAATCAATTCACAGGTGAACAGGAAGCCTCTGAACAGAAAACAGGACCGGGGTTATGTGTTCATATGTCATGTCATAGACACTCTAAGTGTGCTCACAGGATATAAAGAAACAAAACTTAACTAACGTCTGACTTTTTATGTCCTCAGGTCCTCTTGCCTTTAAACCACGATGCCGGAGACAGTTCCACAGATTGTACCATAACACCAGGGACTGTACTGTACCTGCCTGTGGGTAACAAAGCTCTTTACTTAACTAGTTGTGTTGAATTGTTTTCCCTAAGGTCAAAAAAGGAAATGTTTTTTTATTTAATACAAGAGAGTTGCATAGTTCTTGTTTAGTAAGTTTGGTCATTTTTCTCAGAAAAAACAAAGAAGAAAAATAATTTGTCATGTGAGGTGGAAAGGCTTAAGGGTCCAACATACCCGATCTGAAGATGAACAGTTGACACGGGGTCACGTGGTTGCTTGACGTTCGTTTTCGCATACACAGCTCCTGGGAAACCTTTCCCGCCGTTGTACATGTCACAGCACGGGGTTTCTTCCCACTTGGTGAGAAACTCCACTCTGATATTTGCATTTTGGCCACAAATCTGTTCCTCCGTGCACAATATCTGTGTTTTCTCCATCTGTGAGTATTTGGCTAATTGAATTTCTTTACAAGTGCATGAAAGAATCATGGACGTATTTTCTGAATACCTCGGACAACTGCTACTCAAAACTATCCATGTTTGCACGCACAACAGCTGACTTCTAGAAGCAAAATAGCTGAAGCAAAATGCTTCAACTTTATTGTCTGAGCACTTTTCTGCATGAAAAAAACATGCTCACAAACTTATGACCAATCATGCAATTCTTTGCGCATTTGCATGTGAGGAAAAAGCTTGTCCCAAGCAGTGGTGGAGCCAGACATTTTTCTCAGGGGTGGCCAGACGGGGACCACTACTCACACAGGGGTGGCCAGGAAAATGACATTTGTTTTTACCTGAAAGCTTCTACAGATCTTTATATTTTGGTCATTTCCTTATGTCCTCATATACTGTAGGCAGTGACTACCTTATAAACATGGGCGTCAAAACATTTTAAAAGTGGGGGGACACACTGTTGTGGGGTCTGGGGGTCCTCCCCCAGAAAATTTAGAATGAAATAGATGCCCTTTCCAGCATTCTGGTGTATTTTACCAGGTTGTTTAATATACATTTACCTACATAAGTAAACACTTGATTTGATAATTATTTCAGAGACAGATTATTCATTAAACTAGTTTCATTATCCTGTTTTTAAACGCACTGCTACAGCTGAGATAAGGTTAATTAATGTGTCATAATTTATCATATCAATTGAGTTTAGGGGTGCTTTTTACCTTTTTATGTTGTTTATTGATTTATTTTCAATTTTAACACGTCATTGTGCCAAACGATAATGACCCACAGCTGCATGTTTAAAACTAATTTTAATAACTTTACCCAAAAAACAGGTGCAATATTGATAATCACCGACAGTGAATTTAAAGGGGCATTTCACTTTTTCTGATTTAGTGATAGGTCTACTCCTAACCAAAAGGGACAGATCATCATGCAGCTTTCAGAACATAAAATGACACTGTTATGGTGACCAGAAAAAAAAATGTCACCATAAGTCAGATTGCATAGGCATATTTGACAATTGGTTTGCCTGATTTTTACATAGATTTTTACATAGATTTTATATAGATACATTGTTTTTTTATTTTTTTATTTTATTTTTTAATCTATTTTTATTTTTACATTTTATTTGTTTCTGTTACTTTTTACTCTTTG